TAATTCATAATCAGGAAATGTCATGGATGGTATTTAGGACCATATCCAGAGAGCCTCTAGTGCAGAAACGAAGGCCCCGAATATGAATAACAAGCAGCACAACGGTAATTAACATTTGTGGAGCACTTGCTATGAGCCAGGCTTATGGTAAGTGCTTTCAATAGTGTTTCCCAGTTCATTCTTACAAGAAATCACGAGGCAAATATCATCCTCCTTTTGACAATGAAGAAAAGGAGGAACAGAAAAGTTAAATGACTTTGACTTGCCCAGCAATGCAAAGTGAGTAGGGAAGGGGATGGGGGCAGGGATTTAGGATTTGCAGTCTTAGGCATATTCATTCTCATTTTCTAATCTCTTAAAATACCAAATCTGGAGAGACAGTCAAGTGCTAAACATTTTCTTTGCATGCCACCAACTCCTGTTTGATCCCTGGCACTGCATATGGTCTCCTCAGCCAGCAGGTGACCTCAAAACAGAGGCAGGAGCAGTGTTGAGCATTTCTGGGTATGGTCCAGAATCCAAAATAATTTTCTGAAGATGGCTGGGTCTCCAAGACTTTAAAGAAACTCTCCAGAGGGACCTGAGGATGTGTTTGAGTGGCCAGACGTTGCCTGTGCAGGTGAGATCATACCTCTGACCCCCAGCTCTGCCTCCCAGAAGATCCTGCCAACACTCCTGGTGTTATCCTTAGCACACCATGACCATAACAACAAAAACAGTGACATCCACACAAGGGATAAAGGAGAAAGATCCTGAGACGATCCAGGTCATAGGTGTCAAACTGCTCTGTGCAACCAAGGGGGTTGCTTCAAAAGTTCCACCAACAATCAAGAGTTTGTGCCAGCAAGAGATGAGTTCAGGTCCATGGGGAAATATCTGCTCCTTGAAACTCCTTTGCAGGCTGGATTTCCACAACAATTTTCTTATAAGCAAAAGAGAGAACATGGTTCCGTTGGTATAGGTGAGGGAGCAGCACTTTCTGGAAAGGTCCAGCATGTGAAAACTTGGGCTTTGTGGTCACACTGGCTACCATGGCAACTCAGCTCTGCTGTTGTAGCACATACGCAGCTGTGGAATATAGGTAAATGGATAAACATGGCTGTGTCCGAATAAAACTTTATTTGTAAAAGTAGGAGGGGCCTCCTGTCCAGGGTATCCCCCTGAAGTCCAGTGGAATTGGTCTACATGCTCTCAACAGGGATTGTCTTTCTTGCAGACAAAAAAAAATAGATTGTCTAATACCCACATAATGATTTCTGCCCATCATCAACTAGCTACAGCCAATTTCAGGGAAAGAAAATCCATGGGTCTTGAATGGGAACAGTTTCCCATGCCCTACCAAGGACTTCTGCATTAATCCTCATGGCAATCGTGCGAGGTGGACAGCACAATCTTCTTTCATATAGCAGGGAACAGAGGGACTTTTTGTTTAGTTTGGTTTTGTTTTTATTTTGTGCCACACCTGGCAATGCTTAGGGGTTACTCCTGCCTCTGCAGTCAGGAATGACTCCTGGTGGTTCTCTGGGAACCGTATGGGATGGCCAGGAATTGAATCCATGTCAGCCACATGACAGGCAAACATTCTACCCAATATACTATCTCTCCACCCCCTGAATGAGGGTCTCAAAGAGAGCGAAACAGTGACTAGGAACAGTTTAAAGTCTCCCTCGACACCATCAGGCCATTTTGACATGCCATTACATCATGTTGTTTATCCTGGCATGAAACCGAAGAGAGCATTGATAAGTTATCCTTCATGATTCTTCACTAGGAAAAGCCATTAAGTTCACTTCATAATCTCATGTTGCTTCCTCCTCCCAGCCCCACACCAGGATGCTTCTCCATCTGTGGGAAGTAAGCATCTTTATGATTAGTGCTACCATTTCTAGAGGTGTTTCCCTAAAGCATAACGCAAGAGGAGAATTACCTTTGCCGTTTCAATAAGCTCTTCTCCCATGTATGCTTTCTAGCTATTTATTATCTCTATCTGCAGGCTGCATGGGCGCTTTGCATTAGCTGGTGAGCCTCTGCGATCTGTGCGTTTCTTATAAAGGGGTTGTCTTTATAAAGGTCATTTTCATCTCTACACTTTGTCTTCTACTTCCTGTGCTGCCTCTCTTGAATTCCTATAGTGCTGGGAGATTTTGCAATTCCTTTTGTGCCCACGTGTCAGGGCACTTCTAGCTTGATGATACACCATCGGGAGAGAAAGAAACCTCATTGCTTCCTCCTACATGGGATAAGTCGAAAATATGCAACTGAGTTATTGAGGTTTGGAGTACAGAATCTCTTCCAGCACCCACATTCCCTGCCTGCTTTCCCCTTTGCCAGCATGCCTTGGGAAGGCCTCTTGCATCTATTTTCACTTCATTGTAGATTGATTTTCTTGCAAGAACCAATCAGCCCCACTCTGTGGAGGCCCCAGGAGGTTGGTGCCATCCCAGAAGTCAGTGACTACCTCCCCTCTAGAGCGTTTGGCTCCCAGAAGGACGCTTGTCCTCCACCACTGCTCACCCCTCCAAGGTGGCCCAGCTGGATGGGAAACAGGAGAGAAATCCATCACGTGTGGAAAACTCAGCCATCAATAAGCAGCTCTGCGGGCCTTTCAGTTGGGGGACCAACCACAGAACTGGCTCTCCATCAACAATCAAACAGTCTTTAGCTGTGATCAGCCGCTTCCATCACCTCCGAGACTGGCAGGTTTCCAATACAGCCCCCCGCCCCCTCCCCTAGGGTAAGGCCGTCAGCAGGAGGCAGGCATTGTCCGTTAGCCTGCGGTTTGACAGCAGTGTTAGCACACACTCTATTAGCCAGCAGCTACACCCTGACCCCTGACCCTGACATTGACCTCAGACGGCCCTCACGGAGGTAGAGTCTGGTCAGCGGCGGTGGCCCGCCCTGCTGGTTAGCGCGAGAAGCCCCATCAGGTCCGTGCAGGGCTCTCTGACTGGCCCTGCTCCGTAGGAGGCATCAGGCTTCAAGTACAGAAACCAGCCAGGATTGAACCCAGGATGGCAAAGGTGAAAGTTCAGAGGCGTATCCATCAGCAGCCTGTCAGGGAGGATGGCAGCAGCGCCGGGTAGTTTGCAGGCAGCGCCTGCCATTGTCTCTAGAAAGTTCTGCGCCTTAATGGAAAAGACATATCAAAATATGGCTTACAAAATACGAAATAATGGCCTGAGATGTACATTAAATGAGGGTGTTAGATTGCAAGGTACTTTACAGGGGGCGGGGACAGAATTAGATTGAAGTGTTATGCCAGGGTAGTTAGGTTGAAATATGGATTATCCCAGGAATGTGAAGCCTGAGATATGCTTTATATCACAGTTGTTAAATGAAGATGTGCTCTTTGGTACACGCATTAGCCTGAGAGGTACATTATGGCCCGATTGTTAGGAGGAGATGTCGGTTCCCCCAGCCAGGGAGGGGGCAGGCGTGAGCAAAAGACCGTGTGTGGAATAGTGTTGGGGTTTTCAACCCCTGCATGGGGCAGACACCCAGGGGCTGGCAGCAGAGGTAGGAGAAGTGCCTTCCCCGGGACCTTCCTGCCCAGCCACACTGCCTGCCACTCTCCCTGCTCTTCCTGTTAGGGACTTAAAGGCCTCCCCCATCAATAAAAACATTAGCTCACTAAACAGCCTGATGGCTTTTCCTTCCCTGGCTTAACCCTTCGGGAGCTGGGGTTTCCTTTGGATTTGTAAAGATATTGATCCCAGATAATGTTTGCCTTTCTAACTCTCTCTTCCCGAGACTTGATGGATAGGTTCAAAGCTCCGTCGCGGCAGCCAGCTCACCGCAGCTACCCAGGGAAAGGGGGAATGGGAAGCCGGGCGAATGTTCAGTAGTTAACACCAGGCCTCTCTGCCTGCATGGGCAGGCTGGAGACACGTCGGGTGCCTCGTCACTTTCCATCAGCCCCCGAGTTCACTTTCGATTTTCTGCCTCCTCATCCTGATCCCTCTACCACCGCTTTTTCTTGACTTCAGCTAGAGCAGAGGGTGCCAAACGTCTGTGTCTTACCACTCCCCTTTCAGGGAAAAAAATAATCATCACTCAGGATCCCTCTGGGCTGGAGCGATAGCACAGTGGGTAGGGCGTTTGCCTTGCACGCGGCCCACCGGCCAACCGGAATTTGATTCCTCCACCCCTCTCGGAGAGCCCAGCAAGCTACTGAGAGTATCTCGCCCACACGGCAAAGCCTGGCAAGCTACCCGTGACGTGTTCGATATGCCAAACACAGTAACAACAAATCTCACGATAGAGACGTTACTGGGCCCGCTCGAACGAATCAATGAACAATGGGAGGACAGTGCTACAGTGCAGGATCTCTCCCTGGAAACCCATCTGCTCTAACACGCTGATGTGTACCACCAGTGGCTCACACTTGAATGTGGTTTAATGAACACAAACTGCAGCTCCGGCATCTACATGTTAAGCCAGTAAACAGCACCCCCATAAGCCAAGGCTACTTCTGGGGGTCCCAGCAGCCCCTGGGAGCGACATCACCCACTTGGGGCAACACTGACCCGATTGTTAGGAGAAGATGGCGGTGTGGGTCCTAAGCACTGGTGTGGGTCCACCAGTGGAAAAGATTGAAAACCACCGGTCTTGACTCCTTGGGTGTAACGGCCACGCAAGGTCCGTTCTCAGGTGTAAGAAGGTAGAAAAGGCTGGGCTAAAGCGCTGTTGAATTTCTAATTAACATCAGCTGCCTGCGAGAGGCTGGCGCCCCGGCTTGCATATTGAAAGCCTCCTTTACTGGAGGAAGGAGGTTCTTTTTTTCTGCTCATTATCAGCGCACGGGTGAACTGGAGCCGCCACCGTGCCATTTAGTTGCATTCCTCTGCTAGGTGGGGAAGACTTTCACAAGCCCCGACCCCAGATAGAAATCTTACCCAAGAAAAATAAGCCGAAAGGAATGGGAAGATCGTGTCGTCCGCTCGCCACTTGGCCTACAAAGCTTTCTCCGACACGGTTTTGTTCTTTCTTCTCTCCCTCAGCTCAGGAGATATCATTGGCTGCCTCCACGGGCCTCTCCGAGTGCCGTTGGACAGTGTCCAGCTCTGCCGGAACCAGAGAGGTGAGTTCCAGCGTCTCATTTCTCAATGAAAGACAATGTTATACCAGGTGAGTTAAGACGGTCAAAAAGACTAACCTGCCAGACAAGGGCGGCAGACAAAACCGAAGCGTTCGGAGGAAATTGTGGTGTTACCAGACACCTCCGCATTGTTCCTGGAGGTTCCAGGAGAGAGACACATGGGCCCTTGGTGGGGATGCAGGCTAGGGGTGTGGGGAGCAGGGATGGTGACCTTGGGCCTTACTGCTTTTGGAAAAACCAATTTCCTATCTGGGAAAGTGGGTTTGACAGCTAGAGAGATAGTACTGGGGCAACTTCCAATGTGTTGAATACAGCTGACTCTGGTTTGATCCCCGGGACCCTATGGGGTGTCCAAAGCATGATTAGGAGTGACCCCTACGCACAAGGCTAGGAATAGCCCCTGAGCTCTCCTGAGTGTGGCAAAAAAAAAAATTGAACAAAAGTAAATAAATAAGAGTGGGTTCACTGCACAGACTAAAGCATGTCCCCCTCCTGAAGGAGCGTCCCCTGGGCAACACTCATGGAATGCAGCAAAAATACATGAGATGGGCAAGGCAACAACGCCACCGGCCTGGGATGTCTTTGCCAATTTCTGTCGTTTGGTCAAGCGCGACACTATTTCTCTGAGCATTTCCTGGTTCCGCCCTCATCGAGTCTGTCCTATTCCCCAGCCTGCTGTCTGCTTTCCTCCTCATAGCGCCCGTTCCTGCCTCCTTTCCTTACATCACATGTTCCTCAAAAATAGTTGATGAGAGCTATTTCTAGCCCCTGCCAAGGGATCTGTCCGGCCAGACTCCCACGGGATGTAGGAAGCAGTTTAAAGCCAGTCCTAGAGAGGAGAGGAAAAAGAAGAGCTTGGTTGATTCCCAGACTTCATTTATAAACACATCTGTTAGGTCAAGCGAGATATTTGCGGCCCTTCCCTAGATGGGGAATTGCACCAAGCTTTTCCAGAAGCACCACCTAAAAGCCCAAGGAAGAGATTCCATGGCACCGTGGCAGAATCACTGTGGCCTGGCAGCGTAGGAACAGCGAGATCATTTAGTGTCCCCCCACCCTTCTGCTGTGACCCTCTGGGAAAGTCACAGACCTTTTGTGAACCTCAGTTTTTCAACCCATAAAGTGGGTTCAGGGGCTGGAGCAATAGCACAGTGCGTAGGCCATTTGCCTTGCACACGGCCAACATGAGTTCAATTCCTAGCATCCCATATGGTCTCCCAAGCACTGCCAGGAGTAATTCCCGAGTGCAGAGCCAGGAGTAACCCCTGTGTATTTCTGGGTGTGACCCCCCCTCAAAAAAGCGGGTTCAGGGGCTGGAGTGATAGCACAGCGGGTAGGGCGTTTGCCTTGCACACGGCCCTACCCGGGTTCGATTCCCAGCATCCCATATGGTCTCCCGAGCATGGCCAGGAGTAATTCCTGAGTGCATGAGCCAGGAGTAACCCCTGAGCATCACCGGGTATGACCCAAAAAGAAAAAAAAAACTGAGTTCATTGGCAGAATCCAGGTCATAGGGACAGTGAGGGGACTAGATGGCTAATGTGTAGAAAATGCTTTATCCTACGCCTGCTCCAAGTTAGCACAGACAGTGGCCATCCATTCCATCTTTCACCCCCACATCCACAAGAAGTGGGAGCAATGTGCGAACTCACCATGGTTTCCGTGCCTCACCCACCCCCAATGCCCATGACACATCTGGTATTCTACATGTGCTGTGTCCGCCTGGCCTTGTTCCTTCGCCAGACTGCCACTGAGGAGCATTTTCTCTCGGGGGGTGGGGAGGGGGGAAGAGAGCAGCCAGTGAGGGGACAGAGCCATGAAAAGGTTCTTGCTCAAGGAGTGGACCTGCTTTGCAGTGGCCATTCCAGAGCCCTCCCTGTGTTTCAAGGGCAAGAGCTCATCACGGCATGCAGCTCTCAAAGAGGGTCCAATGCAAAGCTGACAGACCTGAGACCTCTGCATCACAATGAAAACATGCCCTGTGTGAGTGGCGCCAAGGTCCTGACCTTTCACAGGGACATATAACAGGAGGCCACATGCCCAGGAGAGCACGAGGGGCAGAAGGCCAGAGGAACAAGGTCATTGGTTGATGAAGTGGTCAGCATGGCGTTTCTGTCACTCAGTGGGTTAAGAGAAAGGGAAGGGGAGAGGGGAGAATACAGGAAACATCCAAGGGACAAGGAGGAGTCCATCAGCACACACAGGGCGACGCTGTCCCACTGGCAGTGCGAAGAAGTGCTGCCTGGTGGCCTGTGACCAGGTCTGGATGCCCCTGAAGAGCTGAGGATGGGGGGGACAGTTGCTCAGGCTGTGGCAAGCTTGACCTTTGTCCCAGTTCCCAGCAGTCGTGCACAGACACCAACTGAGAGTCTCCGCTTCGAAAGGCTCCTTCTACACAGCAAGGAGACAGGGCCAGGAGCAGGGACTTAGACACGCTTCCAGACCTGTCCTCAGTGTCTGGCCTTCTCGTCACTGGGCTGCAGAGCCGTTTACTGGAAACCCAGGGGTGGGTCCCTCCGCTGGAGGCAGTGAGTTGGATTCGGTGAAGAATTTCCCTTGCTCAGTGGGCTCCAGTCACTGAGCTGGTCCACAGGGAGCTGTTTCCTGGCTGCTCTCTGCGAAGAGGAGACACGGGGATACAGAGCAGTGGGTTCTGCTGCTTCACACCTGTGGACCAATGACCAAAAACCCCAGTGGAGAGGCCTCGTGGGAGGATATTCTGAGGCATCCCATGCCTGCTGAGAAGGACAGGGAGGAGGAAGAGGACAATCATATGGTCTGAGGATGCCTGGGGCAGGCAAGGCAGGTGTGACTCTCCCTTCAGGGGCTGTACGGAAAGTTGCCATGACAGGGGAGCCCTGCATTGAGGCGTTTGCTCATAGACTGGGGTAATCCCCAACCCCTAGACTTCAGGAGGGAGCCTGCTCCACAGCATGTGGGTGAACTGGGTGGTCTGGGGCCAAACATCTCCCCTAACTGCCAGATTATAATCCAGCTCTCAGACATCCCAGCACTCAAGAAGTTCTCAGCTCTGTTTCCCAAACAATTAAAAAGATTTATTTAAGTGTTGGGGGTTGTGAGTGTCTGGGTTCGGGAACAGTTGTACAGCATCTCGGGTCCTTGACCTGCACATGACTAAGGTAAAAAGGCCCTCCCGTTGATCATCGATTTGCTCGAGCGGGCCCAGTAACATCTCCATTGGAAACTTTGTTGTTACTGTGTTTGGCATATCGAATACGTCACGGGGAGCTTGCCAGGCTCTGCCATGCGGGCGAGATACTCTCGGTAGCTTGCCGGGCTCTCCGAGAGGGGTGGAGGAATCGAACTCGGGTCAGCCATGTTGGCTGCGTGCAAGGCAAATGCCCTACCGCTGTGCTACTCCCAGTTTAATCCCAGGCACTACAAAATGGTTCCCCAAACAGTGCCAGGAGTGATCCCCGAGCACAGCAGGTGTGGCAGGAATGCTGGGGAGAGGATAGGAGAAGAGGGAAGTGGAGAAGAGGAGGAGAGAGGAGAGGAGGAGAAAAAAGGGGAGAAGAGGGCCCATGGAACACTGTCACAGGTGTGATCAAGAGCATGTGAGGGGCTGGAACAATAGCACAGCGGGTAGGGCATTTTCCTTGTACATGGCCGACCCAGGTTCGATTCCCAGCTTCCCATATGGTCCCCTGAGCACCACCAGTAATGATTCCTGAGTGCAGAGCCAGGAGTGACTCCTGAATATCACCAGGTGTAACCGAAAAAGCAAAAAAAAAGAGCATGTGAGCACTGTACCCTGGGAAGTGAGCATTCTGCTCCTGGGCCAGTGCCACAACCATGTGTACAATACCAAAGTCACATATACAATACCACAATCATGTGTACAATACCACAGTCATGTACTAGTACCACAGTCACGTGTACCAGCATTACAGACACATGTACCACCACAACCACAGATGCAGGTCCCAAAATCACGTGTGCAAGTTCCAGTGCGCACCACAACAAAACGTGTGGGATCTGTGATCACTACAGCAAACACCCCCACCCCCACCACCAAAAAAAATCAAGGGGAGAAGAAAGAAGAATAAATGAAGAGGAATAAAATAAATAACAAAGAGTTTTAAACCAGAATGTGGGTTTGTTTGGGATTTTTTTTTTTTTGATCACTTTGCCATAACCGAACTCTGGGAGCCTTCAGGCAAATTCTCTGGATACCCTCATTTTTTTCATTTGCATCATGCAACCTCTGTTATTGCTTTGAGACCACCATTCCTGTTTAAATCATCATTTCAAGGAACCTAATCTACCCAGAGATCCATGGCACCCACCTAAAAAGAATCACTAGAAACTACTGACCATTTTTAAAAGCAGTGTGTTTATCTGCAAGTCCCCTGAGCCGCTCAACGAAGACATCATAAAACCTTCAAATAAACGAAAACGGAAACAAAATAACATGTCCAGTCTTAATCTCCTTAGAAGGCAAACAGGAGATTGTAGTTGGCTGAAGGCTGGCATGAAAACGCCCAGAACGATTTTATGACCAAGTGCGGAACCTCAGTGTCTGTCTCGTGCTCAGATTCCATCTCCCAGACCGCATTGTCCCAGACCTGGCCTTATTGTCCTTGAGGCTGTAACAGTGTGACCCAGGAGAGGCTGAGCTGGCAGTAACTTCCAAGCAGAGAAAGGGAGGCAAGGGGCTTCATGGGCCCACCAGTCACCTCATCCCGGTGCCTTGCTGAACTTCCTCTGGACTAGATGTCAATAAAGTTGATTCCAGCCTCATTAGTTCTGAGATTTGAAAATGTAGAACAGCTGGAATATTCACATACTGTAATTTTTATATTTGGAATGGATGATAAGGAAATTTCTAAAACTGTTCTATAATGTTCCTACATGTGAACTTTCCCAACAGAAAACAGTAAAACCATTTTCAGACCATTTACTGCTCATGTTTGCTCTGTAATTAGAGTGGTTATGGTTTGTTAAGCAACCGAATTATC